GATAGAGTTAAATCTATCGTTGACGTTGAGGGACGTCAAGGGCAACAAGAAAAGCTTCTATAGGTATGTCTGGGACAAAAGGAAGACTAGGGAAAACGTGGGCCCACTCAGGAAGGAAACGAGAGACCTGGTCACACAGGACATGGACAAGGTTGAGGTACTCAATGACTTTTTTGCCTCAGTCTTCACCAGCAAGGACTCTAACCATAACACCCAAACTGCAGAAGGCAAAGACAGGGACGGAGAGGATGAGGAACTACCCACTGTAGGAGAAGACCAGGTTCAAGACCAGTTGAGGAACCTGAAGGTGCACAAGTCCATGGGACCTGATGAGATTTATCCGTCGGTCCTGAGGGAACTGGCGGATGAGGTTGCCAAGCTGCTATCTATCATATTTGAGAAGTCGTGGCAGTCCAGGGAAGTTCCCACTGACTGGAAAAGGGGAAACATAATCCCCATTTTTAAAAAGGGCAAAAAAGAAGACCAGGGGAACTGTAGGCTGGTCAGTCTCACCTCTGTGTCAGGCAAGATCATGGAGCAGATCCTCCTGGAAACTCTGCTAAGGCACATGGAAAATAAGGAGGCGATTGGTGACAGGCAACATGGCTTCACCGAGGGCAAAGCGTGCCTGAAAAATTTGGTCGCCTTCTACGATGACGTTACAGCATTGGTGGATAAGGGAAGAGCAACAGATGTCATCTACCTGGACTTGTGCAAGGTATTTCACACTGTTTCACATGACATCCATCTCACAACCGCATCCTGGGCTGCATCAAGAGAAGTGTGGTCTCTAAACTATTGTTTGAGGAAGGGTGGAGGGATGTTTAATGGCAGGTTGTTTGCTGTGACCATATTGTGTTTTCACAAGATAACAGAAAAATTAAGCACAGCCTTTTGTGCATCTCTACACGATGTAATTCAGGAAGTTCCTTCCCATGAATGCAAAATATTCATTCACATTTTGGGGAGGATTTGTTTTACCTCGTTTTATAAATATTTCCCATGGCATTTTAGATATTTTATTCCCTCCCACTTCCCTACTAAGAGCATATACTAAGCTGCACCAACTATAAAATGATGTCTGTACGCTAAGTTGAGGCTAATTTTACTCTCACTGAACTCCATGGAAAACCACTCATAGAGTTCACAGGTAGCTGGTTTGATCTTTTTATCCAGAATTTCCAAGATACACATTTAAAATGTATTATGTGACCAATACCGACTGTAAAAATTTCTCTTCACCTTTGCCTTATTTTCCTCGTGCTGAAATATCCCGGGTTGTTTATCTTCATTCATTATTTCTCATTATATGCTTATGTTGCCAGCTCTTCAGAGCAGGCATTCTTTTATTATCAGTCTGAGTTTTGCATATCAATATGGTGTTCTAATCTCAGGTCTTTAAATATTAAAATAAATTCAATGGTATTGATGGTGATAAATTGTGAAAGTGTTTCTGGGATTTGGATTATGGATAGTTTATAGATAGACCCATACTGCAAAGCTCACGCATGACTGTAAACTTTGGAGAAGTTTGAGGTTCATTTCAGGCACAACTGAACATCATTCCTTTCTGATGAAACATTCAGGGGTTATTTGTAGCTCACAGTGACATTTCACCATTACCACGCACAGCATGCAAGTGATAAGTTTTTGAAGGAGTGTACCCAAACAGTGAAGTCATTTTACTGCTTTTGCTAACCATCACTGGTCAAATTAACAGGAAAAAATAAAGTCCATAGATGCAGTTGCTGCCTTCTCATAATTTCAGCTAGTTATTTCCCCCAAAATGCATCCTTACTCAAATATGATCTAGATGGCCAATTCCGCAACAGAAAACTACTGAAGTCAAACTTACTGATAATGCAAGACCATTATTTTTGTGAGCGAAGTTCTAATTGAAGATATTGAAAAACAAACACCATGTAAGAAGCTATCCAGAAGGTAACTTATTATGTTACCATGCAACATACAGTTTTGTTCATTCTTCCTCAGGATAGAGTTTACTTCCTAGTTCTTCTAACAATACTGTCTTGAAATCTCTAACATAAATTGTGAAAAATCTAACAAACGTTCAGCTTTAAAACCCAAACATCAGACAGTTCCTGTCATTGCTCTCATTTAGCTTCATTTCTTTCAGGTCTGTAAATGCAATTCAGAAAGCCTCAGCCACAAAGAAAATTTCCACTGATCTGCTGTTCAGTTCTAGACAGTTTTTTCTAGTCTTTGGCCAAAACTCTCCAGCTCTATCCCACAGGCTCCATGTTGTTTTTCAGGACATTTCACAATGCCTATCCTCTTTCAATGCTGCCCCAAAGACCAAAGACTGTGTCATATCAGAAGGAGGTGAGAGAAAAGGAGGTTACCATCCTAGTGAGCTAATCTGTACTATCTACTATCTACATTTCTACTCTGTTCAAATTTCACCTGTTCTAGGAGCTCTCTTCTACACAGAATATACAAATACCAAATATACAGTAGATATCTCTGAAAAGAGCACTGTCAAGAACAAGTCAGAATCATCAAAATATACAACTATGGGGAAAAAAATTCTGTGGTACTATATCATAAGCACGAGTAAGAGGAAGGACATAAGGTTAACAGGAACCTACCAAAAATAACTTACCACTGTCTCCACAGATCCTCAACTACACATCTGAAGATCAAAAGCTCATCTCCTTTAGCACACAGAAAAGCACCTTCTGGGCCTCTCAACAAGATAACAAGGAAGGGGGCGGGCTTTTTTCTTTAGGGTTGGGGGAGTGGCTGTTGGGTTTTTTTAAAATACAATTCCATCAGCATCTCTAGAAAAGACTGATGAGATCAATACAATAAAACCATACTGGAGTTGCTACAGGTACCTCTGTGGTACCTGTACCTCCATCTGGCTGCAAATTAATTAATTAATTAATTAAATAAACAAACAGCTAACAGTTCCCCTTCCACAGGGACGGGAGCATTTGCCGCTCTTTCCAACTGCCATTGCCCAAGACACACACACAGGCTCAAGAAAATGTATCCGTGAGAAAGCACCAGTGTGACAGGATGCACTGCAAATGCGCATTCCCCTCTTGCCATTGAATCAAAGTATTGGGTTTAAAGGGCAAAGTTTTGGTAGCGGAGAATGCTGCAAGGATGGCTTCTGTGAAACACATATTTAAAAATTTTCATTAAAATATACATTATCACACAATCTTCAGAAACTTCACTTGCATCAACAAAAAGAATTTCCCACACCAAAATCAGAATATCATCACAACACTGACAAAAGTGGACAATTTACAGCACAATTAAACAACAAAAATTCCCCACAGTTATTCCGCTCTTTAGCAATGTCCAGTCCATGTTTTGCCTGTTGCCTCTCCCAATTAAAGTCCCTACCTTGAATTCTTTAAAATACAATGTCATCAGCATCTCTAGAAAAGACTGATGAGATCAATACAATAAAACCATACTGGAGTTGCTACAGGTACCTCTGTGGTACCTGTACCTCCATCTGGCTGCAAATTAATTAATTAATTAATTAAATAAACAAACAGCTAACAGTTCCCCTTCCACAGGGACGGGAGCATTTGCCGCTCTTTCCAACTGCCATTGCCCAAGACACACACACAGGCTCAAGAAAATGTATCCGTGAGAAAGCACCAGTGTGACAGGATGCACTGCAAATGCGCATTCCCCTCTTGCCATTGAATCAAAGTATTGGGTTTAAAGGGCAAAGTTTTGGTAGCGGAGAATGCTGCAAGGATGGCTTCTGTGAAACACATATTTAAAAATTTTCATTAAAATATACATTATCACACAATCTTCAGAAACTTCACTTGCATCAACAAAAAGAATTTCCCACACCAAAATCAGAATATCATCACAACACTGACAAAAGTGGACAATTTACAGCACAATTAAACAACAAAAATTCCCCACAGTTATTCCGCTCTTTAGCAATGTCCAGTCCATGTTTTGCCTGTTGCCTCTCCCAATTAAAGTCCCTACCTTGAATTCCTCCAGCTCCAGAACAAACTGTGGTGGGTTAACAGGGGCTGCCGCCGAGGCCCCAAAAAAGCCACTCTATCAACTCAAATTGGGGAAGATTAATTTAATTTATTGCCAATTAATAGCAGAATATAATAGTGAGAAATAAAAACAAAACTAAAACCAACTTGCCCCCCAGCCCCCTTTCTTCCCAGGCTCAACTTCACTCATGAATCTTCTACGCCTTCCCTCCCCAGCCCTCAAGGGATGGGGGATGTGATTTGCGGTCAGTTCGTAACACTTCATCTCTGCTGATCCTTCCTCCTCCTTTCGCTTGGCTTTTATTGCTGAGCACAACATTATATGGTATGGAATATCCCTTTGGCTAGTTTGGGTCAGCTGTCCTGTCTATGTCCCCTCTATCCTCTTACCCACCCCTAGCCTACTGGCCTTTGGGGGAGATTGGAGAGACAGCCTTGATACTGTGCCAGCACCGCTCAGCAGTAGCCAAAACAGTGGTGTGTTATCAACACCTTTCCAGCTACAAATACATAGCACAGCACTATGAGGGCTGGTATAGGGAAAGTTAACTCCATCCCAGCCAGATTCAATACAATCTATCACCTCAAGGCGACATTTATAATATTGTCTGAAGTATCTCTTGCATACAGCATAGATTGTTGCCAAATATTTGTAATCAAACTGTTATCAGAATATATTTAATTTCTTATCTTCTACTTCCCTACAGTGAGTCAAGTGATATTTTATACTAGGAAGTGTCCCATGGGGCTGTGCAGTTGGAGAGAAAGAAATGGGATCTGTGATAAGAAAAAACAGAGTAGAACGTTCAAACCAAAATTATATGTTCCGATCTACATCTGTCTGTGCTCTTACTTACCTGAAGAATATATGAAACACAAAATGTGGTGGCACTTTATATAGTTATCTTGACTTCTTGGTGTAGATACCTATGGTATAAGCTTGTACAACCCACAACAATTACAGGAGATATAAAAAATGACCCTGCGTACCTTTCATCTGAAACTTAGGGTGTCTTCCAAACTTCAGAATAATGAGCATTATTACTAAGCCAATGCACACCAGTGCTGCACTTCCCACCACAATATACACCTAAAAAAGAGGATAGAAACAGATCTGTTTTTTTTCTCATTAACCAGCTTGAAACATATTCAGCATACATTCAGATTTACCCATTAACCCAACCTCATGAAATTCAACAAGTCCAAGTGCAAGGTCCTGCTCCTGAGTTAGGGCACTCCCCAATATCAACACAGACTGGGGGATGAATGGATTAAGAATAGCCATGAAGAGAAGGACTTGGGGATACCATTGGATGAAAAATTGGACGTGAGCTGGCGATGTGCGCTTGCAGCCCAGAAAGCCAATTGTATCCTGGGCTGCATAAAAAGAAGCATGGCCAGGAGGTCGAGGGAAGTGATTCTGCCCCTCTACTCCACTCTCATGAAACCCAACCTGGAGTACTGCATCCAGCTCTGGGGCCCCCAGTACAGGAAAGACATGGACCTGCTTGAGTGAGTCCAGAGGAGGGCCACGAAAATGATCAGAGGGCTAAAACACCATGGACTATTTATCAGGGAGTGTAGTCATAGGATGAGGGGTAAACAGTTTTAAACTGAAAGTGGGTAGATTCAGATTAGATATTAGGTAGAAATTCTTTACTGTGAGGGTGGTGAGACACTGGAACAGGTTACCCAGGGAAGATGCCTCATCCCTGGAAGTGTTCAAGGCCAGGTTGGATGGGGAGCAACCTGGTCTAGTGAAAGATGTCCTTGCCCATTGCAGGGAGTTAGACTAGATGATCTTTAAAGGTCCCTTCCAACCCAAACCATTCTATGATTTAAGTAGAGATTAATTTCAAATAGGAAACTTTTGCACTCAGATCAAAGAGTACAGAAATAAGTAACTTCTATCCTGCAGAGAATAGAGACTCAGACACCTCTGAGAACCACTTTCTCAACATCCCACACATTCAAGGCAGGTGGGAGGGAATGCACATCACCCCTTTCCCTTCCAGCAGAGTGGCATGTTTTAAAAAAACGCATAAGAAAAGCACATAAGAAAACACTTTTTTACTGTGAGGGTGGTCGAACACTGGCACAGGTTGCCCAGAAAGGTTATGGAGTCTCCATCCTTGGAGATATTCAAACCTTAATGGATACCGTCCTGCACAACCTGCTTTAGCTGACTCTGCTTTGAGCAGGGGGGGTTGGATTAGATGATGTCCAGAGGTGCCTTCCAGTCTCAGCTATTCTGCGATTCTGTTATCAGAAAAGATAAGACTATCTGGGCTCTTCCTGATTTTTTAGCAAAGTATATCTCCATGAAGCAACCACTGTCAATGTGAGATGGACTGGAGGCTGTCAAAGTTAATGCCCCCACTGCATTTAACAGATGGAAACAGAACAAAATTGAAGTTTTAGGAACCGTTCTCACTGCCCTTATTCTTATAACTTTTCACTCCCCAACCACTGGCACTAGAGAGCCACTGGGTAGGCTTTCTCCCATCTGCACAAAACAGATTCCTCCCTCATCACTTTCAGATGTATTGAGACAATATCTAGCCTTCATAGGCTCCTTTTCCATTCTTTCCTAACTCACAATCTACCACAAATGCACACACTCTCCACTGCCTGCTGCCTTGCAGTCATCAATGCCTGCAGCAGGGAAGCAGCACTAATAACCAGACTGGCTGCCTGCTACCAGTTTCCAACAATTCATGACATTTAACATTCATCTAACATTCAATTTTAAACATAATGATAGGTGAGACAGCAAAGGAGTAGACCCACCAATTCAGCTGCCTGTACTAAGATCCACTACAAATTAACTTAAAAAGCTACATGAAATCACACATTAAAAACATACAATTCGAATTCAGAAGTTCATTACACCATGTCCTCTTTGTAAGAAGCTGCTGACTTTGGGACTGGAATTAAAGCAACAGTCTTTAAGTTACCTTGAATGTTGTTATTTTGTAAAAAAAATAGTTGCTCTCCTTGGCTAAAATTAGAAGCAAAGTCTTGGGCTAACAAATTAGTTAGCTGTTCAGAAAAGCATGAAACAAATTAGCAACTTTACTTGAAATAAAAAGTGATCCACTCTCAAAATTGGGGTGAGGGAAGAGGGGGGTGCATTGATTTTTTTTTCCTCTTGATTTTGATGACCACATAGTAATAGCTCTGGTGTTCTGGTAGCTTAGGGTCCCATTAGAATCTTTGCAGTTTCATTAGTTGTATAGTCAAAAAAATCTGCCAAGATTACAGATCAGGAAACAATGTATATACTTACAGTGATACTATCTTCATTCTTTTTGTTGGAAACATCTGCAGAACTGATTTGATTACTATTATTCATGGTGTCTCCAAGATCATTAGGCGTGGTTTCATACTCTTAGGAAAGGAAAAAAAAACGGTGCTTTTATAATTTCATAACCTTGGAGGGGAAAGGGTTGTCTTTATTATTTCAGCTTTATAATGCCATAATGATAGTAACACTTATCAGAATTCTGAGCAATTTGGAAATTATACATTATTTCTATTGTACCTGATACATTTGGAGGGATCCTTGTAACAGATAATTTTGAACAAATGTGTTGTGACTAACAGACTTAAAAAAAGAACCTGCGTCTCTATTCAGCTTTATAGAGAAGGAATCCACATCATAATATATATTTCTATTAGAAAAACTAGAGTTAAATAAGAACTCCATCCATAAAGCTATTTTTATGTGCTTCTGACTTCCCATGAAAAAATTGAAGACTGCCCTCTACAATGAACTTCTCTAGCCTTGTATTCAGTCAAATATAGGACTGACTTAGAAATTAGCTTGGGGACATTTTATCTGTGAAGAACTTGGCAGATGACCTTTTAGCTAGTTTATTGATATTGAAATTGCTGGTTTTCTTAAGTTAAAAAAATAATGAAAAATGCTGTTGTGTGCATAGAGGTTACAGTCTAACATGCTATATTGTCATACAGGTAAACTTTAAAAAAGTTAGGTGCCTGAGATGGTCTGAAGAAATTTGATTTATCAAAACAATGCTACTCATAGGTCTGCAGGGGTGAATCCAGGACAATTCCATCAAAAGAATGAATATGGCTTAATTATTTATCATTATTTAAAAATGAAACACAGATATATACAGTCCATGATTTTCTGTCAAAATTATTCATCAGTACAATATGCTGTTAATTTCAGTAGTTAGAGAGGCCCAGCTAAGAAGTGAAGTTACTGAACAAAATTGGTTCTGTTTTACCTCAAACCAGGACATTATGAGATAGCAAGAATTAAATAGTACATGTATGAATTGAGAGATACATGCATTAAAATAAAAAACTTAATATTTTTTATGATTGCATCTGGAAATATACATAATGTTTCAAGTGTATGACTGTAATGTGTACAGATAAATAAAAGAAACAAGGGCAATAAGTGCATTTATTGCAAATGCGCCTTCATCACTAATTTAAATTTGCATTTAATTGTGTATTTCTTTATATATTTTTAATAAAGTCGGTACCATAAGTCTGCAGATGAAATTGTAACTGTGAATATGAAAAAGCAAAATTCAGAGGCATAGCTCACAAACCAGAGGCAGGAACTCTTCCAACCTCAGAGCTGCTACCAGGCAAGGGGATGGAGAGCCTTTATCTTCTTTAGCTCCCAAAGCTGTTTTGGAGACCTCAGCTGGCAATACTAACAACAAGCTGCACCAGCCTTTTGATCTTCATGCATGCACAAACACACTTTTTCTGCAAAGCACTCAGCAGGCTTCATATTTTTTTAGTTTATGAACCAATACAGCTACCTCTGTCACCAGTGCTACAGTTGGTCCAGTCAGGTTGTCTAATCAATTCACAAAGTCTATTCTGGCTCAACACCATACATGCCAAAGGATAGGATTTTTTCAAGACAAAATACGCATTTAGTCTACAGAGCTTTCACGAGAACCCAAATTTAATTTCCTGGCCTTTTGTCATTTACATTCTCCAACTCAGCATTGCATCCCTATGTCTATAGCTATATGCATATGTATATAGCTATATATATAGCTATAGCTATATGCAGCAAGGTTAAAATAGTAGTGAAAGGCAAAAGAGCAGCAATCCTTACTCCAGGCAAAATAAATCCTACCTGAATTCCCCACTTGGACAAACAGCCTGGACACTGAGACAAGGTTCTGTGCAGATCATCCACTACTGTGAATACAAGTTTTGCCACAGCAGAGCGGGAGATTTCAGTTTTATTCATCAGCAGGCAGCACCTAGACTCTTGACCAGTGAATAACCCAGTTTATAACAAGTATCTCTATAAGATTGGGCTTCATTTACAGTTTTCTGGCAATGTCTTCACTAAGATAGTTTTGACCAACCCTTTATTTACAGTAGCTTTATAATAGCAACATATAGAAACAAACATTCTTCCCTGTTCTGTCTCCATAATACAAACTTTTAAGAGGGAATATTTTTGCTTTTAATTTTACCTGTAAATAGTGGGGGGCAAAAGCTGAAGCTATTTGCAGTTCTGTTTATGTTCATTTCTATACTATGATACTGGAAACCATACCCTGAAGGAGTAATGAGAACTATGTGAAGTATTTCAGGTCTGGGTCTATGAATCCTCTGAATGCAGTATTATTAAAAAGGGCAAGTGATAAAGTAGGCCACTTCAGTACATCAGTGTTGCATTGCCATTTCCCACTGTATAACTGTGAACCATTTACATTGGAATTAGTGCCAAATTTTCAAAGCCTTTTGAAATGGGTGAGCCAGGCAAGGAAAACATGCACAACAGTCATCCAGCAAAACCCAGGCAATTCTGAATTAAATGAGTTCTTGTTCATTTGATTATGAAATTCTGATTAGGCACGTAACATTCTGATACAGACAGGGTCATGCCTCTTGACTCATGCTATGTGGGACTTGTGTTGTTTCAGGGCTAGATTCTCTGGTGTCTACTAACTTATGCAGTCATATATTCCTATACCAACTGAAGTAAATCACAACCAAAGCACTGGAGCATTTTGCAGCTGTTTTATAAACAAAGTGTAAAGCAGCCGGCATCCAGACAAGAGCACTGTCATAAGTACCAGGGAGTCATTCTGCAAAATATCCCTGGGAGTCCAGTTTTATGGAGCATATTGTCTCTCCTTTTCATGACCACATTAGAAAAAGCAGCATGGCATTAAAACATGAACTAGGGGCCAAAGAAGCCATCTTTGCATTTAATTTCCTGCTCAGCCTTGGTCAAGTCACTTTATTTTTCTTTCTCAGTTACCTCTCATACAAAACTGTGATAACATCTCTTATTTCTCTTTTTCACAGGATTCTGTGGGGATTAGTTATTAGGGACTGATTACTCTGTGCTTCAAGCATATGAAGTACAATGTGGATAGAATTCCCCTAACAAACATAACATCATGCATACTTTTGTGAGTTCATCGGTTCTTCAGTTTCCCATAGTATTTTTAAAACATGTAATGGAAAACATTTGGAAATTACCACTACAAAGGGCTTTGCTCTATGCAGAAGGGTATTCAAAGCTAGAGTCCCCTGCCCCCATGCAGCCAAGCCCTGCTTACCCACACAAGGCACAGCAATGAAGGCCATAACCATTCTACACGAGCTCCTAACCATGTCCTGCTGGCTAAGGGAACTCAAGCAATGCACAGGCACTGCAGAGACCAATAACAGCCCAATAACAGCTGTGAAAATCTGTCACAAACCTTTCCTCAGGGGCACCTAGGAGCTCGCTCTCTTTGTCTGGAATTTTTCTATTTGGTTGAAATCTCATGATTAGTCTCTCTAGTCTGTTTTGGCTCCTTTGAAGTGAAAGACCACCCTTCATACCCTGTTCCAATTTATTTTTGCCTAGTCGCATTCCATCTTCTTCCTGCATATATTCAGGTGGGGAGAAACACCCACCGCTTCTGTGAAGGTTCAGTCCATTGTCAGGGCCCTGAGAGTACTAACAACCCTTATTGGTCCTGCCCAGCCTCCCCTGGGGCCTCCCCCACCCCTGTGCCCAGGAGCCTCGATTCAGGTCAGTACAGGACCATAAATCCCCACCCCAGCAACACCATAGGAGTGTTTGCCTCTAGCTCTGCCACAGCCCTGCCCTGCCATGTCATGGGTCCTGCTGAGCCAGGCCCAACATTTATGTTCACATCTTGGCCTGACCTCAGCCTGTCCCCATCCCCATGGCCCTGCCCTTCCATCCTGGGGCTGTATCTGACCCTGGTTACACTCACTGGTCCTGATCCTGATCCCCACTCAGGGGCTGACAGCCCATCCTGGCCACAGCTGAGCCCCATCCCCACAGAGGTGCCTGATGCCCTTAGCTGGGGACTGCCCCCACAGCCTGCCCTACTCCCTCATTGAGGGCAGTGGGACAGGCCCTGGCTGGCAAGACCGAAAATACCCTTGGCAACCAGCCCCCACAAAGTCACCAGAACTGCAGTGCCCTGACACTTATAGAGAAACACCTTGCCACTCCCCTGAGTTTGTTAAAGCAGTAGGGCATCATCCAAGCACCCTGACTTTACCAGAATCCAAGCCACTCACAAACACATAGATATTGTGTAGCATGCTGCAGGATCAAACCCTCTGCAGCTGTCTTTACCCTTTACACAGTGCAAATTTGCATCATGATTAGCATAGGAGTCTGAAAAATATGTTTTAAAGTGGAGAACAGCAGGAAGGAGAGAGGTGGGGAAGGAGACCTTTAAATCTTGCTTCCAACATAATCTAAACTGGGGGTAAATAGATAAGCATACAGATTGAAGGGTCTGAAAAGGAGTAATGAAAATTCTCAGTCTCTAGGAGGAGCTAATTCCTGGGTGGTTCCACAATCAACCATGCAGTGGTTTTCCTAAGTATAACAGTTTCTAGACTTTTTAGCCTTATTTATTCATCTCACCAACTGCATTTGTGAATTTGGAATAATTAAGGAAACACTTCGGACTACAAAGTGTTGCACAAAGCAACAGTGACAGTTGTCACCCTACAGTACCGATTTTAACCATCAGCAGCAGTGGATTTATGCTAATCTGAATCAAAAGCAGCATGTAAGTAAAAATTGCCCTGATTTATCTTAAATAATGATTAATCATTAATCAAAATCATATCTTAAATAAGTCAGGAAAAGAACCAACAATACAAAGTGCCTTTTAGAATTGTGTTATAATATGTGCCATTTCAGTTTAACTGAGCCTTACATTCCATCTTTTAGTGGTTTGAGTTCCTTTATTTCTACCATTAAAAGAAAAGAAAAAGAAAATCAAATATATACCATAAACATCTGGATCCACAATTGGGCCACTACCTGTGCATGGAGAAGAGAAAAAAAAAAAAACAACACAACAGAAACAGAAAGAAAAAGCCTTTGTAAATAGATTGCAAATGCTAGAAGAATAAGAGTTTCTTTAGGATTTTTTTTAAGAGGTTACATGTTATTTGAAATAGCAATGGTCAGTATCCACACAAATGCAAGGCAACATCAATATATTGTACTATAATTTACAATTATTTTAGAGCTATCCCAAATGTTAACGCTTTGCTTCATGTGAAACAGATAATACACAGGGCATTTGCTCTAGCAAAAGCAGGCATATTTATCAAATGGGCAAAATTCTGCTCTCTGCTGCTAATGTATATCTGGAATATGTGCAACAGTAACTATTCTTGTTGAAAATCAATGGTAAAATTCTCCCTGACATTAAGTGGAAGCAGACTTCAGTGGGAGTTACAATAACTGACTTCTACCTGGTCAAAATTTTGCAGTTAAATCACTGAGAGAGCAAACTGGTTTAGAGCTGCAGCATTGTGGCAAACTAAAGGCTAGAGGATGCTATTAGAGGATGTTCCCAAGAAGCCAGCTGCACACCTGATCCACAGACAGAACTCTTATTGAAAGAATAATATTTCCCATATGCAAAGAAACTAGAGAAGCCAGCCTTTACACAAGCTAAGTGGATACCTGTCTAGTATATATTTTTCTAAATTGTACTAGTTCCAGTTTGCAGCTTTTTCCAATTACTGTGCATATGTAAGGCTAAGCACACGTGAGTATAACACACGCTGAAGTTAGTATACTATTAGTCTATTCATGCTTCAAAAGATACTTGTGTTATATTTCAACATCCCGTTCATCCTGGTCTATAATGTATTTATAGTGTGCCTTATATAGTATATTTACTCTTTTTTGTTGGTGGTTTGGTAATAAAATTAATAGTTAAAATCTCTAAAGATGACTCAAACTTCAAAAAGCATAATTCTGTTTATAGTACCATACAGTAATTCCATACCAGTGACATTACACTGGCATAAAGCCACTGTGAAATATGACCAGAACACAGTTGTTTCTGCTTATTTCAACAGCATGAAAATCTGTGCTAAAATATAAAATGAGTTGCAACCTATTTGCAAAACGGCAGCAGATAATTAGGTTCATTTTTAAATGCATTTGAAGATATTCTAGTACCAAGAGATATAGATTAAGAGACTCCCTGAGAATGATCATGTCAATCTGCAGAAATAAATAAGAAGTGAAATAAGTGTGTACTACTATCTGTCCTCAAGCAAGTTCTGACCAGGGTTTTTTGTCCATAAACCTTCATGGATTCAGGTTTTCCAGTATAAAACATTCAGCAGATGAAAGAACCAGTTTACCTTCTGTATGAGTCCTACTTCTCATAATCTGAAGAAAAAAACCCCAAACTTCCTAGGCCTTTACTCTTGAGTATAGTGGCAACATTTTTACTACTGTTTACTAGAAATGAGATAAAATAATGAGATTGGTTTAACCTGTAATTCCTGCTAGGGACATATAAACCAGGAAGTTACCTATTCCATTCAAATACCTTTTATATAATTAAATACTTCACTTGAAATAAAGTTGGAAAAATCAAGAAGTTGGACCAACACCAAATTTCTGTGTAATATTCCCTACATAAAAACATCATCACAACATTGGTTGAATCTGTCTTAAAATGAAAGTTTACCACAATAATTTTGCATGTTTACATGCAATTATTTTTAATGCAAAGAACAGAATTGTTGTTTTGGTGCCTGTTAGAACAGGTTGTTGTGCAAATAAAATACAGACATATCCTATTCACTCATCTTTATAAACTGCCTCAACGACATTTGGTTTACTTGCTTCATTCTTTATAAAGTTGACATTTCCAAAATAAAGCAGCAGCAAAAGACTCAACCCCCAAAAATACTTATGCAATGTGTTATTATGCCAAACCAGCAGGATGCTACTCCTAAGGCATATCTAACATATTATTATACTGTGACAAGATATTACATAACTTGAATTCCTTCAGCTGAATTTTAGAGTAGAAGGCTGGTAGATGAACGATTTTACTTAAAAATAGTTATTATTGGTAAAAATCTCTCCAGCACTCATTAGCTGTTATGGATCAATTATGGAAACAGCCTCTGGAATAAAACACAGCTGTTTATTGCTTAGCGTTTGCTGCAATGTAGCCTCAAATAGTGAAATTATCCTCAGCAAGAAGACATTCACTGGAATCTGTGGGAAGCTTTTTGGAAAACAACAGACACGTACTGAAGGTCAACATGAAGGAGGAGATCACAGTGCTGACACTGAAACTACTGCTACTCCCCAACAGATGCAGAATGTGTATTAATTAAAAGACTGACTTGGCAGAAACAGTAACAAAGTGTAGATAATAAGTTACAGCTGTGTTTAACCAATAATAGTTTGTGTGTATAAGACTAGAAACCAATGAGCACAAGCCGCAGAGCTAGCCCACGTTGTAGTAAGGTATATGATGGTGTAAGTATTTTAATAAAGGGTCTTCAGCATTGATCATATTGGTCTGCGTCTGAGTCCGTCCCCAAATGGCGCCCAACGTGGGGCACGGCGCAATTTCTTATTGAAATTGTTGCCTTGCGATTTAAAGAAGAAGAAGAAGAAGAAACCGGCTGAGAGACGAATTGTGGCCACAGAAAAAGAACAGAAAAAGAAAAAGAAGAAGAAAAAAAAAAGGTCAGCAGCCGAACATGTTTTGGGTCATGCGCTATCATGGGTTATAATTTAAGTTATGAAGAGCAAACTATCATGAAGCTTTTGCAACATTTTCTCTCTATGAGAGGACTTAAGTATGACCCTGATATTTTAAAGAAATTGCTTTTATGGGCAAAAGAAACGGGCATAGTGAAGG